CGAAAGAGCAGAGCTCAACCCCCACAAGCTCAACTAGGTGAATACACACACACACACACACACATCTGAGACAGTCGAATGGTTATCTACAAGAGTGGACCCCTGGAAAAGTGAAGGAGCAAAGGGGACATGTTATCAACACACAAGATTCTTAGAGAAAATGCCATTAGAACCAAAACTAAGAGGCACGGGTGGAAATATAAAAAGCTAGATCAGTCATGCGAAATGGGGGAGGAACATTAGTTTAATAGTGCAGTAGTGAAGAAGTGGAATGGAGTAGCTGAAAACTGGGTCCCAGGAGCTGATTCCTGCTTTGAGAATACTGTAAATACAAACACACACACACACACACAAGGACAGTGTATATATATATATATTATTATTATACACAAGTTTGAATTATATAACTGAAGTTATATACTTCAAACTTGTGATTTATAAGCAAATCTCTGCATTAAGCATTGGCACTGTGTTCCCCCATATAACAGGGCTTGATGAAAAACGCGAGAGATCTCTCACTATCTCATTGCCTGGAGAGGATTGGAGTTCTGGTTGGTTAAGCAGGTATCGAGCAGGTACGGTGTCCACAAGCAATGTCAATTGAACGCCGATTCTACGTCATCAGCTTTGATTCTACGTCATCAGCTTTGATTCAATGTTATCAGCATTGATTCAACGTTTAATTGACGTTAATAACGATAATCGCCTGTCGTTCCTAATCATATTTCAGTGAAAATAGGAAAGCAGTTGTGATCAAAATCGGTTTGATTTTGCTTTAGTGTGTTACTCCAGATTTCGACATCAGTGCTGGAAGTTGTACAGTCCAGGTGTCTCCCTCTTTTCTTTTATTTCTTTTTTGAGTCATGTGATTGTGTCAGTATTAATCTTTATTGAAGTGGTTTCTAATTGGGATGATTTTTTTTTAGAAACTTCGAATCACTATAAGGACTTCACTGGTGCTACGTTCTAAAGGTAACTGATGATTGATGATGATGACTTAAGCACGAGTCAAAAGTGCTCTAGCTGTTATAATCTAATTCATTGTGGTTATACTGCATTTTAAAAGATCATTGTCTTTGATCGTTATTGAATATATATATATATATATGTCGTACCTAGTAGCCAGAACTCACTTCTCAGCCTACTATTCATGGCCCGATTTGCCTAATAAGCCAAGTTTTCCTGAATTAATATATTTACTATAATTTTTTTCTTATGAAATGATAAAGCAACCCTTTTCTCTATGTATGAGGTCAATTTTTTTATTGGAGTTAAAATTAACGTAGATATATGACCGAACCTAACCAACCCTACCTAACCTAACCTAACCTATATTTATAGGTAAGGTTAGGTTAGGTAGCCAAAAAAGCTAGGTTAGGTTAGGTTAGGTAGGTTAGGTAGACGAAAAAACATTAATTCATGAAAACTTGGCTTATTAGGCAAATCGGCCTTGAATAGTAGGCTGAGAAGTGCGTTCTGGCTATTAGGTACGACATATATATATATATATATATATATATATATATATATATATATATATATATATATATATATATATATATATATAATATATCGAAAACTCCTCACCCCTGAAGGATTCGAACCCAGATAGCCAGGGCTCCATGAACCTCAGCGTATCCAGTACTATATCAACTAGACTATACTGACTGCAAAAAATGGGTGGAAATCGAGAGACTTTTACCCCAACCTCCCGACAGCACTCGATGGTCACTTTTAGGGTACAGATATTTCATCCAATCACCTCTATATCCTTCTAGATCCCTTGTTCTAGTTACACCTTTCCCTGGGGATGGTGGTCAGGTCGGGGACGTACCTACCGCCCTCTCTTTCTGCCTCCCTTAGCCAGTCTGAGATGTCGAGAAAGGCCTTGACAGGCCGAAAACGTTTCAAAATTCCCCTTTCCCATTTCTTTATAATCTTTTCTCCTGCCTATGATGTGTCTTTCTTGTAGACATGTTACTGAAAGTGACGGAAAAGGTTAGATCACCGATTCTAGCATGAATCTCTCTCTTTTCCTTAAGGTCCTCTTCACAAGAAAGAAATTTAAAAAAATTCATTTTTTAAATTCTAAATATCTAAATAAATATCTAAATAAATTCTAAATAATTCTAAATTCATTTTTCATTCTAAATATCATTTTAGAGTTTAACTCTTACCTGCTAAGAGATGTGTTTCGTTGATGCTGTCAACATTTTCAAAGTCAGGTGAAGTGTACAGGAGTTAACAGGAGCATCGAATGTATAACCAAGGAGAATGAGATGAAGTATTTTTTGTTTTGTTTAGTGGATCAGTAAGCCGTCTGCAGTTTCCTTCGTGATGGCTGGAGCAGTCTGCTGGGTATTGCTTAATCGGACTTGACAAGCCTTTTTAACTAGGTCAGGACGGACGGATCTGCTTAAAAAATCACGTAACATGTTTATATATACCCCTCCCATCCTCCCCCCTGCTATCTCCCTTCCTCTACCCTACCATCCCATCCTCCTCTTCAGTCCCCTCAGTCCCTTTCCCATCGTGCCCGCTGGTTCCTCACCTCCTTGACGGGAACATCAGACTCCATCATGAGGCCGTCGTCAGTGCTCTCCTGGGCGTAGTAGTTGCTGAAGGGCCCGTTGGTGAGGCACACGGACTCCACGTACCCCCGCGACGCCCGGCGTAACAGGTACGCGTTCCAGCACACGTATCTGTCAGGGAGACAAGGGAGCGTTAGCCAATATAAAGCGGCACACTAACGAATGTCAAACAGTTTTATATACAAAAGGGGGTCTGATGTGTTAAACAGATGGCGTATTAGAGTAAAAGTTAAACAGTATTAAAAATAAGCATTTACAGTTTTACACGTCAATAGAGCAACTGTTAGTAGACTGCCACTGTATTATTTTTCATAGACTCGTGTTATCTGATTATCCACGAGCTGGTAACCAGGGGTTTTCGTTGGATGCCAGAAGGGCACTTGTCAGTGGAGCTGGATGTAGTTATAGACGTACATTGTGCAGCTAAATGCACAGTCTGTTGTCGTGCATTTAGTTCATTGTGCAGCTAAATGGTGCTAGATGTTTAGAGGCTTTTATCGTAGCCAATTTATTACAAGACTGGTACAAGACTGCGCATTTGGGAGTGCTCAAGGGGTGTTAAATAAGTGCTTGGAGGGATCGAGGGTGTCAGGAGGAGGGTGTTTGTCGTATTAAGAGTTGAATGTATCAGGGAAGTACTGTGTGGTAATGAAAGGAGGTCGGAGGCATCAGAGAGGCGGTGTTTGGCATTAGGAGGAGCCAAGTGTGGTCATGTGGGTGTTTTATTCCATTATTGTGTTCTCGGAGGTCCTTGCTTAACAAATGACCTCAACAGCCGGGTGAAAGTTAACTATTTTAACTATGTGACGTAAAGTATTACAGTGAACCTATAGAGGAGTTTATAGTGCACGTAGATGACAATAGAGGTTAATTAATTTTCCAGCATGTTGTATAATACAGCAGGGACTATTAGAGAGGGTAACTAAAGGGTTATATAATAAAATATGGGGTGTATCTGGATTGCTACAATAAGGTTTGGAGAAGACTTAGACGATTTGATGTCTCTTAGCACCTTTAAAATTGTTAACTGAACCTGAATAAAATGAGTTAATGAGAGAGGGTTATTATAAGGAGAGTATTGATAGAGGGAGAGATGAGTGTAAGAAATGTCCTTACTATAGATCATCATAATTATATAGACGTTACTCGAAGACTGTGACCTAATATTTGTATTCATATAAGTAGGTGTAACTTGAGCATATGTTATATAAGAAGGAGAGAGAGAGAGAGAGAGAGAGAGAGAGAGAGAGAGAGAGAGAGAGAGAGAGAGGGAGAGAGAGAGAGAGAGGGAGAGAGAGAGAGGGAGAGAGAGAGAGGGAGAGAGAGAGAGGGAGAGAGAGAGAGGGAGAGAGAGAGAGGGAGAGAGAGAGAGGGAGAGAGAGAGAGAGAGAGAGAGAGAGAGAGAGAGAGAGAGAGAGAGAGAGAGAGAGAGAGTGAGTAGGGGAAAAGGTTGTGTACGTCAGCACCATTCATGATTAATAAAGCTCTGGCATATTCGAAATGTATAATTCAATCTATGCTTTTAGACCCGATGAATTTAACAGTGTAGTTTTAGAATTGATCAAAGCGAGATTAGTATACAGCCAAAACTCACCATACTTATTTCAGAATGAAAATAAAAATTTGACTGATTCGTTTACCCAAAAAAACTAAATGATCATATATAATTTCGATAATCTTATTGATATGACCTTTTAATGACCAATTTACTTTGTATACGATTGATGAAGTTTTACGTAATGAGTTATTACCACTCCATTAAACCCAAAGAATTTTTACCTTGTGTTGACGGATTTTTTTTTGTTAAGGCATTTATTGACACATATTTTATATTTTTTCCGGAAGAGTTGAACGAGGCGTGTGTGTCAAGGTGGTGAGTGTTATGAGTAGTGTATAGAGTACTCATGAATGCATGTCATTCATTAGTTTAACCAGCCGTTAAGATTTTCTGTCATGAGTGATTCCACTGTGGAGATGTTCTCATGAATAGTGTCAGTCATGAGGTAGAGTTGAATAGTGCCTGTCATGAATCATGTGCGAGGTTATTGTCCCTTCTCTCACTTGAGATAGAGACGTATCCTTGTACCAAACATGTTCCCTTATACGCCTGAATTTAGCATTTAAACGGAATAGGATCTGAGGCGTTGTTTCCTGCACCCTAGATCTCTTCGGGAGAGCCAGGGTGTGCAACCCGTTCTCGCAATTTCGTATAGTCAATATTGACTTGTTAAATACATGCATAGGTGACATACTAGTTTACCTTGAAAAGCTTCATAGAAAACACCGACCTTACCTAACCTTCTTAGTATGTTAAGATAAGCATCTTATTGCTTCGTAATTACAATTATTACTTAACCTATACCTATAATAGGTTAAGTAATAATTGTAATTACGAAGCAATAAGATGCTTATCTTAACATACTAAGAAGGTTAGGTAAGGTCGGTGTTTTCTATGAAACTTTTCAAGGTAAACTAGTATGTTTAGTATGTCACATATGCACGTATTTAATAAGTCAATAGTGACTGTAAGAAAGTGCGAGAACGGGTTGGGATGTGAGAGGGGTCTAGACTGAGGTTGTGAGATGGTATACAGCGTATGTGACGGTATGTAGTATGTGAAAATGTATAAAGATTGTAAGAGGGAATAGAGTTTGTGAGGAAGAATGGAGCTTGTGGGAGGGTATAGAGCCCTTGGGAGGGTATAGAGCCCTTGGGAGGGTATTGAGCCCATGAGAGGCTATAGAGCCCATGAGAGGCTATAGAGCACGTGGGAGGCTATAGAGCACGTGGGAGGGTACAGAGTTTATGAGAAGCTATAGAGAATGTGAGGCGAGAGGTCTCAAGAGACTTGAGAGATGAGACTTGGGAGGGCTTTTGAGAAAAGATAGTTTGCGAAAAAAGAGAGAGGTTGTAGGTGAGAGAAATCACAGGTTGTGGGGATGTGGGTGGGACTGTGGGTTGTGAGAGAGGATACAGGTTGTTTGTGAAGGGGAAGGTAGAGGCTGTGAGAGAGAACACAGGTTATTAAGAAGCTTCAGGATCAAGATGGAGAAGTCAGATATATTATGTGGTCAGTGTGAGAGCTTGGATGACAGGGAATGGTTGGGACAGACTTCAGCTTCACGAAGGAAATTGGGAGAAACTTATAGCCTGAGAGAAGGTACCTTGTAGCCTGGGAGAAGGTACCTTGTAGCCTGGGAGAGGGTAACTTGTAGCCTGGGAGAGGGTAACTTGTAGCCTGGGAGAGGGGTAACTTGTAGCCTGGGAGAGGGTAACTTATAGCCTGGGAGAAGGTACCTTGTAGCCTGGGAGAGGGTAACTTGTAGCCTGGGAGAGGGGTAACTTGTAGCCTGGGAGAGGGTAACTTATAGCCTGGGAGAAGGTACCTTGTAGCCTGGGAGAGGGTAACTTGTAGCCTGGGAGAGGGGTAACTTGTAGCCTTGGAGAGGGTAACTTATAGCCTTGGAGAGGGTAACTTATAGCCTGGGAGAGGGGTAACTTGTAGCCTTGGAGAGGGTAAAAGTCTTGGGAGACGGGAGACAGCTTATAAAAATGTGGAAAGTCTGAGTAAGAGACTTTGACAAAGGGGAAAAAAAAGAGAGAGAGTTATGTAGAAATGAAACGGTTTTGCTAGGGGGAAGAACTTAGGAAAGTGAAAGAGCCTTAGAATTGAGTGAGGGAGAGAGGAAGAGAGAGCGAGAGAGAGCACAGGGGAAAGGAAAGGGAGGGGGGGATCTTGGATTAGAGTAAAGCCAGGGAGAAAGAAAGTGCAGGAAAAAGCTTTTACAGTTAGTGAAATTTCATCTCTCTCTCAAAGCTTCAGTAACAGATCTCTGTAATTCTGGGTGTGGACAATGTTGTATAGTGTGAGTACAGTATACAACCTTCGCAGACTACATTGGGTGGATTATATATATATATATATATATATATATATATATATATATATATATATATATATATATATATATGTCGTACCTAGTAGCCAGAACGCACTTCTCAGCCTACTATGCAAGGCCCGATTTGCCTAATAAGCCAAGTTTTCCTGGATTAATATTTTTTCTTTTTCTTATGAAATGATAAAGCTACCCATTTCATTATGTATGAGGCCATTTTTTTATTGGGGTTAAAATTAACGTAGATATATGACCGAACCTAACCAACCCTACCTAACCTAACCTAACCTATCTCTATAGGTTAGGTTAGGTAGCCGAAAAAGTTAGGTTAGGTTAGGTAGGTTAGGTAGTCGAAAAACAATTCATGAAAACTTGGCTTATTAGGCAAATTGGGCCTTGCATAGTAGGCTGAGAAGTGCCTTCTGGCTACTAGGTACGACATATATATATATGTATATATGTCGTACCTAGTAGCCAGAACGCACTTCTCAGCCTACTATGCAAGGCCCGATTTGCCTAATAAGCCAAGTTTTCATGAATTAATTGTTTTTCGACTACCTAACCTACCTAACCTAACCTAACCTAACTTTTTCGGCTACCTAACCTAACCTAACCTATAAAGATAGATTAGGTTAGGTTAGGTAGGGTTGGTTAGGTTCGGTCATATATCTACGTTAATTTTAACTCCAATTAAAAAAAATTGACCTCATACGTAATGAAATGGGTAGCTTTATCATTTCATAAGAAAAAAATTAGAGAAAATATATTAATTCAGGAAAACTTGGCTTATTAGGCAAATCGGGCCTTGCATAATAGGCTGAGAAGTGCGTTCTGGCTACTAGGTACGACATATATATATAATATATATATATATATATATATATATATATATATATATATATATATATATATATATATATATATATATATATATATATATATATATATATATATATTGGCTCAAACGAGACGGCTCCCCTGTTATATCCACCCATGCCGAGTCGTGTATCTGTCTCACCTACGCTTAAAACAACCCACCGATCACACGTGGGTTGATCAGTGACATTCTCAACTCACCGTTGAGTTGAGCACAGAACAAATTACATATTCACGACGGCCATCTACTGAAACTGCACCTTGCAGGTTCGGCGTTCGATCCCTGATGGTCCAAGTGGTTAGGCACCGTTCCTTTCTCCCGTTCTCAGATCGGGGCAA